TTATCAAGCAGAAGACGGCATACGACACCAATTACGATGGCAATTGGATAGTGCTAATACGACGTTTTAACTGTAGCTTTGAGATAAAAGTTCGAATGGCACAGGAGGCTGGATACGACGCCGCTATTATTCACAATGTAAACAGCAACGATCTAGGTGCGTGATTAATTGTGTAATTGTGAAATCTGCTTCAACAAAGACGCGACTCCTCAACGAGATTGGTTGGTTTCATTCCAGAACCGATGTCCGCTAAGGATTCCGTAGGAATTTTGATACCGTCGGTGTTTGTCAGCGGCATCACGGGGGTTGTGATCAAAGAAAATTATTTATACGACCAGCTGTATTTCGTATTGATTAACGACGATCTGCCGTTCAATATCAATACGCATTTGCTCTTACCTTTCGCTATTGTCGTTGGAATATGTTTCCTAATTATAGTTATTTTTATGGTAAGTCGTGGATGCGAGACGTTAAAATACCGCGTCCGTAATGTTTCGCCGACCTTTTTCTTTTTTTTAGTACCAATTATTTATGTATTACAGATTGTCAGATGTATAAAGGACAGGAGGCGACAGCGGAGGCACAGGCTGCCCAGTTCTAGTTTAAAAAAGATTCCTATACACAAGTACACGAAGGGCGATCCGTACGAGACATGTGCCATTTGTTTGGACGATTACGTAGAGGGAGAGAAATTACGAGTTTTACCGTGTGCACACGGTACGTTTTTCCAACAATCTAGTTAACATCTCGATTATAACTCGATTTTACATGTAGATTATTATTTTGTTGCTCGCCAGCCAAAATTTCCCTCGGCTATCTTAAACATGTTACATTTTTAAACTACTACTACTATTCGTTCGCAATTTCAGCTTATCATTCAAAATGTATTGACCCATGGTTGACGAAAAATCGAAGGGTTTGTCCTGTCTGCAAAAGGAAGGTTTTTGCAGCTGACGAGCAAGTTGTGACCGACGAGAGTGACTCGGATGATGATACAGCACCTCTTATTCGCGACGGCCACCAAGGTGCGGGAATATCCTTTTCTTTTTCTTTCTTTGCGATCGGTAAAACGAAATATGCTCTCGCTGCGAAACTTGAGGAGAAAAATTGTTTCTTCTTTAGGTACACAAGGGGGAACGTTCGCGCGGCAGAGGGAGAATCCTTTTAACAGAGCTAGGAGATCACAGGCTAGGAGATCACAGGATCAGAGAATTCAATTCGGATCGGAGAACTCGAGCGACAACAGCTCCGATTCCGAGCAGTCCTACGTTACCACCGAGGACGGCGTTAGTACTAACGCCGGCGAGTCGTCCAACGTCACAGTTTTCCTGGTATCCGATACTCACAGTATAAACGGTAAGACTAATCGCTA